TGAGCTTATTATTTGTATTTTTAATTTATAAAGTAATTAATCTGGTTTTTTTTTTCCTAAAAAAAAAAAAAGTATGTGAGACGCATTCTATCAATTTTTCAATCAACAACCAATCCATTGATCACAGCAAATGTATACATACGTCAGTTGACACTAAATTTCTTTCCTGTGTTACTATGCAATCTCAATGATGTCAATAAGCCAATATATTTTTTTTCTTTTGTGCAATAAAACAGACAAAAAAGTGAACTTTTTCTTGGAAAATTTTCCTCCTTAACGCTAAAAAATCCTTCAATAATTGAAGCAGAAATCAAAGACTAAAATGAACTGTACAAATAATTATACAATGCAGCTATTTCACGTAGAATTATAGAACAATCTTCTATTAAAGAGCGCAACTCAGGCTCCTTTTTTTCGTTTTTGACTATAGGAAAAAAAAATGTCTTAAACTTCAACAGAATCATCAAACATACATTTTGTAATTGAGAATGTAAAACCGAAAAAAAAAAAATTAATGCTTAATGAACATACCTAAGATTATCCCAATCCGTAAATCTCGCCACCTGCATTCCCCGCTTCAAACATCTTTCATTTGCTATCCTAAAAACTGACAACCATAGTAATATCTGTCTTTTTTTAATTCATCAATAGTTCTTCCATTCTTCTATGTAGTAATTTGCTGTCATTTATTTTCAAATTATTTTAAGGCAATCGAAGACTTGGTTCCACTTTTTTTCGCTAATTATTCACAGCACACGTTTAAATGTGTTTGCTGCAGTTTTTTAACTCATCTTTTTTTTCCTCATTCTAATTGCAAATTACCATTGAAGCAAAATGGCAAATTCTGAAGAAAGTGAACAGATTTAGAAACAGTTAATATTTTTGCTAAAAAATGTTTGTTTTTCTTCTTCTCGCCTCGTTTTTATAGCAAGTTGCTTGATACGTGTTAGAATGTAAAATATTTACAAGAATGCAAACAAATATACAACTAAATTAAAGTCCATTATTACTACTATTGTTATCTTTTTAGAGAGTTTTTTTCTCGTTAAACTTCTTCTTTACAACTTTTTATTTTTTTTAACCCCAACAACACTAACGATTTTTACTGCTCCAAATTTTTTTGCATCAACTTCAGCCTAATATCTGTATTGGCAACATTACAATGCACTCGAAAGAAAAAATTTCAGTTTGCTAGCCCTCTTCAATGCTTCTTCACCAGTAAACTTTGCATTAAAAGTCAGATGATTGAATGGAAAAAAAAGAGCGATATAGTAGAAGCGGGAGAAGAAACAAGGAGAAAAAGGATAAAGGCATATAGACCTACAATGTCTTCTTTTACTTTAGCCTTATCGTATAACCAAAATTAACGGTCCTATAAAACATGCAAAACTCAGCACAATAGTACTTCTCTTTTCCTCTCAATAATAGGCTTTCGGAATCATGCAAAAAATAAAAAAAATAAAAAATAAAAATAAAACAGAATCAATATTGAACATACGTTTGCCATTTTAAAATGTCCAGTGAAAACGAACATTATGCTAATATATGGACCTTTTTGATTACATCTGCTAAAATGTTTATTTAAAACGAGAGGAATTTTTGTGGTATTTTTTATTTTTTTTTTTTTGCAAAAAAAAATGGAAAATATCGATTCTTTATATTCTTTTGAATACTGTCAAATAAATATGACTTATTATTACTCGACGAGATATTATAAATGACACTGCGCGGAAAAGTAATAGAATCTTGCTAAAAATGTTCGGCACAGCCAATCTGTTTATCCAGTTATCCCTCTTTCTAACTTCAAAAATAACAAAAGAAAAAAAAAACCTCAGAATAAAAAAAAAGAAAAATATGAAAAATTTTTATAACAGTAAGAAATTTCGCCAAACAGATGAATCGACGACAGTGTCAACAGAAAATTTTGTCTAGACGGCTGGACACGACCTTCAGTAACTGATAAATCGTAAAATAACTAAATCAAAAAAAAAAAAAA